GAAAGAAAGAAAGAAAGAAAGAAAGAGAGAAGAAAGAAGAAAAGAAAAAGAAACATGAACAATCAGGCCGGCCCCTGGTTCAATACCACTGTTTTTCTCTAGTTGCTTTTGTCACGAGCTCCATGTTTGCTTTGGGACCAAAGACTAATGTTGGTAACAATTCTGAGACACTCGGAGGATTCTTTGAAATGTTTTGAAAATCTTCAGAAAAGATTTTAAGACTCAGGCAGCCCTTTCTTCTCCCAGCCCCACAAGCTGTCCCTGGATGGACTGCAGACTCCCACAGCTCCACCCTCTGCCTTTGACTTCTGTGCTTTGGATCTGGATGACCGCTGGGTCTCCTCTTGCACTCCTGACCCAAATATCCATCTTGTTCATGGATCTCAGCCCAGATGCTCCCAGCTCCTCCAACTCCCCACGCCCAGATGGAGTTCATCACCTTCATTCCCAGCAGGCTCCCACCTAGTCTCTTCCTCGGATCAGGATGCCTACAACCAGCCAGTCACGAAAGCTTGTAGCCTTCTAGTCATTGGAGCCTTTGAGCTCTGGCCAGCAACTCTCCAGTGCCTTCTATGTCACTCTTCCCTCCATCTCCTTTCTAAGTAGGCCCCAAATGGTCTCCTAACTGTTCCCTCATCCAGCATCCTAGTTCCTCTGACCCATTTCCTATACAACTATCACAGTCATTCCTGTCTTTTGATCTAAATTATCCCCAAGCCCATGTTTGTTGAAGGTTTGGTCTCTAGCTTGGTGCTTTCAGGAAGTATGGCCCTGTGAGAAGCCTTAGATTGTTGTAAGTGTGACTTCAATGGGGAAACCGAGACCCCCTCTAAGCCTTCTTTGCCATATCCTGGCCATCAGGGGGCCTTTTGGTCATGCGTTGCCACCATAATCTGCTGCCTTGCCACAGACCCCAAAGGGGTGAAGCCTCAGAAGGTACAAGCTAAAAACCCGTATCTCTCTCCACGTTGTGACAAAGCCAACTAACACAGGCATCTTCTAGCATGCAAATCTGACCATTTTAAGATTTTAGAATTCTTTCAATGGCTCCCTTCTACCGTTGTGGTAAAGTTGAAATTCCTTGGCAGCCCCATAAGGGTTCTGCCCACGTCCCTCCTTCTACCTCAAATAGCTTCCCTCATTCTCCCTGGTTGGATGTTTCTCCAGGCTCAATTCAGACATCTCCTCCTCCAGAGGCCTTCCTGACCATCCTACCCTCTCCCAGCACCCTTGGCACACTGTCAGGACACTTGTCCCATGTGTCATTTCCACATGTATGTTCTCAGCTGGTCTGGGACCTCCTCAAAGGCAGGCATGTGTCTTGCTTGTCTTGCTGTCATGGGCAGTGGACCTAACATAGAGTAAGAGCTCATTAAGCATTTGCTGAAACATTGAGGCTGCTGGAACTTTAGAATTCCTTTCTCCCAACACCCTCTTCCAATTCTACCTCATCCACTTTTTTGTATTGGCAAAACTCAAGAGGTAGACCAATGGGAATTTAAAGGTAGAGCACATTCTTAGCTCATATGAGGCCTTGACTTCAATATTCAGCACCAAAAGAGAGAATAGTTCAAGCCAATAAAAACAGTCCTGTTAATTTTTTTCTGTGGGAATATTAATAATTTAATTCAGTTGATCATCCATGAACCAGTCACTTTATCTAATACAGGAAATTATCACTTCTAGGCCAGAGGCTGGGAGGAGCACTACAAATAGGAAACAGAGAGAGACTCAGTCCATGTCCTTTTCAAAGTGTCCAGGCTCATCGTGATAAGATGACATGCTCAGAGTGGCCATGAGGAAGAGAGGGTGGTGAGTGCCTTTGGGTTTCTTCTGCCCTTCCCTGGCCTTGCCTCTAGATTACACTGTCTGTGGCTCTGCAGCCCATTCCCACTGGACTACAAGTTCCTTGGGCTCAGAGACTGTTGTTCATCTTATTCGCTCATTCAACAAACATTTAGTCATGCAAAGCCCTTTTAGGTGCTATGGTCATAGTACCTAATAACAGTCTACACTCTCTGCCCTGTGGAGCATACACTGTACCCAACACGGGGCTCTCGAGGAATATTTGTAATGAATGAAGAGTTGGCCCAGAGGGAGCTGAGTGTTGTCCTCAAACATGTGGAAGGCAGCCATGAGAAGGAGGGCACATTTGTTCAAGGACCCTTCTGAGGGCAGAGCTGCAGCCCGGGTAGGTACCTTGAGAGGGAGCTGGTCTGCGAAGTTGAGGAACAGTTTTCTGTGAGTAAAAGCTGTACTGTGTCATGACATGGTGAAAGTAAGTGCTGAAACAGAAGCTTGGAGAAGACATTTCTACAAACCAAATAATCCTCAGGTGTAGTGAGCCCTTTTTGGTCCTCATCTCAGTCCAAGAAGTTTATATTTGTAATTCCAAAGACACATTATTGAAATCCCACCAAGTTAATTCCAATCTACCACTCCAGGTGCAATCCACGGCAAAAATAAAGACACTAAAGCATATTTATAATTATGGGGAGCTGAAGAGTCCCAAGTCCAGCCATGGTGGTGGTTATCCAGAACAAAGGCCTCAACACAGGGCCAAACCTGGGTTTTATTCAGTCATAAAGGCAGAGGGGTCAGGGAGATAGCTCAGTGGAATAAATATTTGCCTGGCAAGCACAAAGTCCTGAGTTTGATCCCTGATGCCACCAAAAAACAAACAAACAAACAAACAAACAAACAAACACATGCTTTCTTAAGGGGGCTTGCCAGTTAGCTCAGTTGTTTAAGCGCCTGCATGGGCAAACCCAGTCAGGCTTGTGGGACCATGGTTCAATCCCCAGCTCCACATGCCACACCACACCCATACTTAAGGCAGTCTGAGCCAGCACCCCCCCCCCAAATCCTTCTCAGTCATGAAGGAGGAGTGGCTTGAGGATGAATGACTGAGAATCGCAGGAAGGAGGTAAGCACTGTGAGCTGGAGTAGGTGGGAGGCCTGCATTTACCTCTGCGATATGCAGAGAAGGATGTGCAGAAAAAATGATTTGCATTATACATTTTTTTTTCATATTTTAGGGAAGGGTCTATGGGGTGTTCAGGGTCTCACTACTAGATCAGACTTGTAGTGATCCACCTGTTTAGAGCCTCCCAAGAGCTGGGATTACAGGTGCATGCCACCACGCCCAGTCTCAATTGCTGTCTCAGCGTGCCCTGGGGGCAGGATCAGCAAGGCAGGCCTGGGGATGGAACCCAAGCCTCTGCACCTTCTTGCAGGCTCTTTAATCCACTGAGCTATTTGGCCAGCCCTGCATTATACTATTCAGACAGTATCTAATGTTTTGGAGTTCAGTGCTTCAGCTCTGATATATAATTATTATTATTATTATTATTATTATTTATTTTTTTTTTTTTGCGGAACCAGGGATTGAACTCAGGCCCTTGTGCTTGCCAGGGAAGTGCTTGTCCTACTGAGCCATCTCCCCGGCCCTAAATAGGGTTCCTTTATTTTATTTTATTTTATTTTATTTTATTTTATTTTATTTTATTTTATTTTATTGCAGTACCAGGGATTGAACTCAGGACCTTGAGCTCGCCAGGCAAGCACTTAACTCTACTGAGCTGACTCCCTGGCTGTAATCTTTCAAGCCCCAGGAAGTCACAGCCTCTATCTGGAGGCTGGAACCCAGCCAACAGTGTAAAGCATTGGCTTTTTGTCTTGTCTTGACCTGGCTCATATTAATGAGCAGCAGGTGTGGGTTGTCAGGGAAACATGTGGGTCATCTTTAAACCCCACCACCAGCCCCTCGGCTAGACCAATGTGCATCGCTTAAAGCCAATTGAAGGGATAAGGAAAATTCCTAGCCAGCTCTGTACCTACATGGATTTAGGGTCAGGCACAGCCAAAATGGAGACAACTGCTCTTCTTTCAAGGAGTCACCCAGGTGGTCCTCCACACTCAGGTCCTTTCCAAATCTTAGAATTCAGGCTTGAAGACACTGGAGCTTGCCCTAAGTGTACAGCCATCAACATATGTGGCAGATTAAGAGTATAGCTCAGTACTGAGGTCAGTTTAATCCTCAGTAAAACACCCACTCCTCATCCCCCCCACACACATTCAACTAAAACCTATAGTATTTTTAATCCTCCAAGGCTAGAACAGAGGGAATGGGGATCACCCTAGGCACTACCAAGACAGATTTTACAGACAGCTTCTTTAAACACTACAAACTCAAGCCAGAGAGGCAGAGAGCTAGAGGAAGAGAGAGCTCCTTGTTTGGGATTGCTTCATAGTGGCCTGATCTGGGCTCCAGTGGGATCCCCACCTACACCAACAAGGGAGAAGAGAAAGGGTGACAGGGAGGAGAGTCAGCCTTTGCAGAGGCATCTAATACATTCATCAGTCAGTTGCTCAACTTACCCCCGAACTCAGAAAGCCTTTAGACACCAAGATCCATCTCACTTTGAAATTTCCAGGACCAATCTTAAAGCAAACACAAAGATTTATTCATTTATTTTTGGCATAGAAGGAAAATATGATTAAAAGAAAAAAGGAAGTGGTACCCAAGAGAGCACCTGTCTTACTTTTTACTTGTTGCTGGGACAAATACCCGACACTCAAAATGAAGGAAGGAAAGGTTTATTTAGCTCACAGTTACTGGAGGGTTCAGTCCATATTCCGCTGGCTCCAAGGCAAACAACAGCAGTTCATGCAGCAGAAAACAATGAAGAGCAGAGGAGGAGCAGCAGCTGCAGCGGCGTCCATCAAGCCTCTCTCTTCCTTCTGCACTGACTGCAAAGACCAGCGCTCCGCAGTGAAGATGGGAGCTCCTCCAAAGTAGCACGGCTGCGAGACCAAGCTCCTCCAAGACTGAGACTTCTCCATGGAATCAGGGCGGGGCAGCAGGAAACCAGGCAGGGCGGCTTCCTGCCTTTCTCAATTCCTGGGCCCTGCCCACCTGAAGGGTGAGGCCCCCATGCTGCCGGAGCTGATTCAGCCAAGTTGACACAATGTATCAACTAAAACAGCACCCGTTACCTTGTACCCAGAGTGCTCATTTTTCCTAGGTACCCCATCCATTAAAACCTTGTTTAAGGAAAGTGACAGTGCTGATGTCTGGAAGAGGCTTATCCGTGATAGCTGAGGAAGAGGAAGTTGAACTTGGGAGCCAGGACCTGGTGCTGTCCTGAAGGTTCAGCACAGTATTTATGGCCTCCTTGACTGTCTGGCTCTGGCTCACGAGCCACAGTGACAAGTGTTCTCAGGTCAGTTCTTCTCCTCCGTTCCTTGGGTCTTAATCTCTGTTCTCTACTGTGAACTGGCAACCTGACCTTGGCTCCTAGCTAAGATGGGCTTGGGCACTTCAGGGTCAGGGATTAAGACCTGAAATGGCCACTGTGGAGAATGGGACCCAAGACCCACTGGTAAATCCCATTATTCTTTTGACTCTCTGGATCTCCAGTTTTCCCTGTTCTTGTGAAATCCTAGATGATAATTTGTACTTCACCCACTCTCTACCAGCATGGGGGGCTGGTCAGTGAAGTGCATCCCTCTGCTAGTGAGCCCATTTCCCAGGAGGATGTCTTCTCATCACTTTAGGCCTTCTCTCAGGTGGGCAGGATTTCAGACACTGCTCCAGGTTGATTGGATTTCCTCTCTTTGTCACTCCAGTCTTGATCAAATGGGAGCATTGGAGGTGGTGCTATTGTATATCAGTTAGGGTGGTGACTTGATTGGAACAAAATCAGGAAAATTGGGCTGGAGAGATAGCTCAGTAGAATAAGTGCCTTCCTGGCAAGCACAACGTCCTGAGTTCAATCCCTGCTACTGCAAAGAAGGAAAAAAAAATTAGGAAAGTTCCTGGTACAGGCAATGAAAGAACGCTTTCGTGTAGCAAAGTAATCTGCTGGAAAAAGGTGGGAACCTGCATGCAGGAGCCAATCTTTACCCACTAAATATAAAAGGTGCAGCCTCTTCGTTAGCAGGTAGCAGCAAGAAGTGGTGTGTGGTGGGGGCCTGCGATTTCTGGTGACTCAGCCTGTGACCTTTCAGGAGAGATCTTAGTGAAGGTGAGGGGGAGTCTGAGCTTGCTCTCTCAGAGCTCTTTGCTGCTGCTGCTGCTGCTGCTGCTGCTGCTGCTGCTGCTGCTGCTGCTGCTGCTGCTGCTGCTGCTGCTGCTCGTTTTAGGAATCAGATGGAGAGAGTCAGCAACTCCCACCCAGTGGCTCATGGATATTAGCATCATTGGTCCCAGGGAAACACCTTTCTGGAATTTATTGGCTTCTGTATTTCTTTTTCTCTCCATCCCACAATTCTATTCCTATCTCATTCTCAATTATTCTTCGGCATTTAGGGTGCATGTTTTTGTACAAACAGTATTTCTTTGCAGTCTTTTTAGTCTCTGCGCATGTTCCACCTCATTCTCACCTCTCCCCCACACTACCTAACATCCACACATGCTGCTATGTGTACACCTAACCACTTGCCTCAGTGCTGCTGCACAGTACTTGCGGCGTGCGTGAGTACTAAAGCATAGTGGCCGCTAGGTTTTATGACTCACTCTCAGCAGTGCAGACGCAGGTAGCCGTGAACACTCACCACAAATAGCCCACGTACACAGCTCCTTATGGAACTGAAGGAGAATCTCGTGGGCTGTGTATCTAGTTGCCATCCTGAGTGTGACTCACCAGAGTGCTCTGCAGAATGTCTGCCCATCTTCTTACCAGCAGGGTCCACATATCTGCCAGCAGTGGGTAGCACCCTTCTTCTGGTATTTCATCAATCTAAAAGGAACACGGGCCACAGAGATAGCTCAGCAGTCTAAGCGCCTGCCTGGCAAGCTCAAGGACCCAGGTTTGGTCCCCAGTGCCACATGCTGTACTGGCCCCACCCTGGGACACTCTGGGCTGGCCACCATGACTGGGTAGCCACCAAGACTGGGTGTGGTGGCTCACACCTGTAATCCCAGCACTGGGGGCACTGAAATAGGAGAATCAGTATGAGTCCAAGCTGTACAGTGAGACCCTGTATCAAATACATTTTTAAAAAATTTAAATAATAATAAAATAAAATAAAAGGAACATGGTGACAACTCATTTTTCTTTGTGTTTTTCGTGTTCCCAAAACATGTGCGTCTCCTTTCATGGCTACAGTGGTGGACACTTGGTAAATTCACAGCTTCTGGACACGTTAGTCTCTGAGGGCACATAGGTGAGACCCTCCCAGGAACTGCCCACCACCAAACTAAGCTGAGGACCCAAACTGTCACAGGGACAGCATCCACTCAGTGACTGGCCTGAGTTCCAGACATGTCTGAAGACACCTGCCAGGCTCTGTGTTTCCCCATGACACCCCCAGAGGCCTGGGCTATCCTCGTCACAGTTCAGATTCTTATTCAGTCCTTTCCAGCTTCCTCCAGGTGGTCAGGGCTGCTGCTGAGACCAGATCCACAGCCACACCAGCTCTCCAACTGAGTCTGCTCCCCAGGCCCACTACTAGCGGTGTGCACCTTCATCTTCAGTGGAAGGCCTGCTTATGTCCTTTCTCCATTTTTTTTTTTTTTTTTTGGTGCCATTACAGTCATAAATCCCCAAGATCCTTGCTTATTCTTTACACCAACCCCTTCTTGGCTTTGAATACTACAAATTCTCCTCCTGTAGTGTCAGCAAGCTATCAACCTTGGGATCTTTTGTTGATTAGAAATCCCTTAATAGCAGATTGGGTAATTTTGATATAATTGGATTCATAAAAGTTTTCCTTCAGATTTATGCTTCCTGGGTCTTGTTCTACAAGAGCTTTCCTGGAGTACAGAGGTTTGTTCCTGCACTCTCATCTATCGCTTTGTTTTGTTTTGAATCTTCTTTTAACTCAGGTCTTCATACTACTCAGGGCCCTCTTTTGTACATGATATTAAATAGCTATAAAGTCCAGCTTGTTTTTATTTTTCTGCTACAATGAGCCCATTGCCTAAGTGCCATGTATTAAACACTTTATCATTCTCCCTATCGATCTACTGATTTGTGGAAACACCTTTATCCTGTAAGTTCTGGCATACAAAGATGCCCGTCTGTATCCAAGCTCTCTGTTCTGTTCTATTGATATACTTGGGTGTTGTTTTAAATGGTTGTTGTTACTAGAAAGCTCTATAATATGTCTTAATAGCAGGCTGGGTAAAGACCCTCGTCACTATCTTTTTCAAGACTGTCCAACCTGTCCCTCTTTGATTTTTATAGCTCATTTCATGAAAGTGAGCTGGACTTGATACACTGGCCTTGGGCCAGGAGCTCTGGGCTTAGCTCTGGGTCTGCTAGCTGCCACTCGGGAGTGGTGACCTGCGTCACAAGCCATGTACTCACAAGCACAGAAGAGAGACTTTAGGAAGAAGTCAGGCCAAGAGATGGTATCTGACTTGCCCTGGCTGCTCAGAAGCCTTAACAATTCTCTGCAAAGTAGACTCCAATCTGATCCAAGAGAAAGTCAAAGGCACACAGAGTTTAATGAGCTTGAGCACTGAATCAGACACAGTAATGAGTGACATTAACAGCACCGTCCTGCCAAGGAGGCCCTCCTATCTGGAACCTTGGTGGCTTGGCCCCTGCTCCTGAGGACTGCCAAGGCCTGTGAAAAGGTTAGTTCAGTGCTACTTCTGTCTCCATGGCTTCTGCAGCTTCAGCTCCTGTTTCCAAAACCTCAGCTCGAAAGCATGTAGCATTTCCTTCTATGATAATTGGGAGCCTGTGAACAGGCTACAGTTAGTCATCCACCGTGTGAAGATGATTGGTGCCCCAGCTCTGGAGGTGCCGACGGGTTCAGACTCGTCAGAGCTGTGGGCAAAGACAGAAGCTGATGAGGGGGAATGAGCAGGTGACTCATCACTGAAACCTTGAACCCTGAGTTCAAGGAGAGGGCTCTAGATTTCCAATGCAGAATCTGCTCCTTGGTGGGGCCCGGAACAGTACCAGGTGATGTGCTTTGCTTCTCCTCACCAACAACCACAAGGCTGAGAGAGTGACACCAGGTTCCTCCAAACTGCGCTCCTTGCGCTGACCATCTGGCTACACCCCTTGCTTCCCTATCCTCTGCACTTTTGGGTCAGTGTAGCTCCAGAGACTTGGACCTCACATGCTGGCTTTCTTTGGGCCAAAAGCCCTAGGCTCAGCACGCGGCAGAGCCAGACCACGCTTGCCCCTGTGCTGTATCACTCTCATGGCACTTTTTCTCCAGGTCGGGGAAGGACTGAGCAAGAATCTGAACTGTGACCAGGAGAGCCCAGGCCTCTGGAGATGCCTGGGGCAGATGAGGGGAGCAGAGGGGGGTAATGGGAACATTGTTCCCAGTGGATATCTTCAGAGGGTTTGTAACTCATTTTAAGATCATCATCTTTGAGAACAGGCATTTTTAATTCACTTGTGGAGTGGTGTTTCTTCCCGAGTGGACCCACATGAGGCTGGCTGTTGGCTTCCCCGTCTTTACTCCCCAAGAGAGTAAACCAGTGTGGTAGCTTGGCCTGAGGATCTCATTGCCTAACCCATGTGTCTTCCTCATCCTGCACCCATGTTGGCTCTCAACGTAGGGCCCAGGGAGTCCTGTAGCATCTCTCCCTTTGGAGAATAGGTCACAACCCCATTGGAGCACCAAAGAGCCTGGGAAGCACCCCTGCTTACCTGGAGAGCTCTGCTGAAGGAGGCTCCGAAGGCCCAGGTTCAGGGACTGTGTTGCCTCGCCCCTCTGCACCTGAGGGCCACTCCAGAGGAAGCCCTCCTCTTCCCATTTCTCTGGATGTATGTTAGGAGCTTACTGATCCTCTTGTCTCCTTAAGCTCACCTTTACTTGTAATAGGCAGCATTCGGGTCTTCTACAGGCTGCTCCAGAGATCAACCACTGAGTCTTAAACAGACACAGCCTTGGCACAAACCCCTCTTCGGGGGTTTGGGGACTCACTCTGAGGGATACAGGAGGGGCCTATCCAATTTTAGGGCTATCAGTGAAGAAGAGAAGCAGTCTATGCTCTGCTTTAAGATGCTAGTATGGCCAGGAATGGTGGCCCTTACCTGTAATCCCAGCATCCTACTGTTGTAGGCAGCTAAATTACATAGAAATATCATAGGCAGTCAGTCAGGGCCAGGCCCTCAAAGCGACAATATGGAAGACAAGGTGACTTTGCAACTTTTTTTTTTTTTTCAAAGTTTTATTGATAAACAGATAGCAATGAGACAGTTTCAAATCCAATCGGAAGTACAGTTTCAACAAATAATACACTGCATATATTCTTCTTAGTACTTTGCAACTTTGGAAGGAACAAATACTCCGTGCTGTGGGCCAGACCTCAAGACAAGAGTAAACAAATGTAGCCACATACTTCCCTAGGAATGGGCACCAGGGATTGATATTCTAAATAGGTATCAAACACCTTGAAAGAGCTCAAATGAGTTACTAACCCAAACCCTCAACAGGAAGAGACCTTGTTCCATATTCATGCCCACTTGCTATGTGACTTGCTTCCCCCTTTGACTCTGATTTAGTCAATTTTATCTGAGCAATGGTGCTTGTAATCTCATTGGTTGACCATAGTTTTGTCCCACCTCATGCCCACCTAAGCGAGTTCCCATGTTCTCCACCACCTTAGGCCCACCTCACCACATGGTTTTCCTCTATAAACGTCCCTGGAAGAGACAGTTTCCTGGAGACAACCACTCGGGGCCTCCCTTCTGTCCCTCTCTGACAGGAACTTTCCTTCCCCCAATAAATCTATTCTGCTCATAACCTCCATGAGTTCCTAAAATTCATTCTCCATTTTAGAGAACATGAACTCGTCCTAGGTACCTTTTAGGTTGGGAGATCATCTTCCCCCTGTATAATTTGGAGGTCCCTATATCACTACGAGATTGATGCAGGAGAATTACAAGTTCAAATCCAGTCTGGGCAATTTAATACTTAGCCAAACCCATTCTCAAAATATAAAATAAGGCAGAGGGGATGTATCTCAAAGAACCCAGGTTCAATCTTTAGTACCACCTCCCCCCAAAACCCTGATGCCTGAGAAGCCACCCAAGAAGAACCCATTTTGCAACTTTGAGAAGTGGCATATGAACAGGGAAAGGAGGTACCTCCATGGTAGGGACCAAGCTGTTGACTAATCCAGAGCTATGTGGAAAACTGGATCAGCTTGACCCTATTCCCCCGGCCCTTGGTCAGGCCATGGGAAGCATGTAGAGCTTTTGGAGAAGGCCGATCATATCATCTGCTCTGGTGCCAGGTAGGTGACAATGACCCCTTTTGGGCTTCCTGAGGATTCTCAAATGTTCCTCTTCTCCTTAAATCCTCTGCTGTCTACTTCTCTAAGTCTTAGAGACTCGGTGGCTCTTCTAGAAGGCTGAGTGTCTTCCAAACAGAGATGGTCGTCCTAGGACAATTGCATCCTATAAGTGGGCTTTCCTGTATTTCCTTTTACCCAAGGTAATTAAATCCACATGTTACAGGCTTTGGGGAAGACCATGTGGCACACACTTTGCAGCATTGGCTCTGAATTTGTTCTACCAGACCCTGAGGGGAGCTGGTAGGCTCCACTACCCTGGATGTTAGGCTGCACTAAGCCACTCTGAAGAAAATCAAAGGTGGGTGAGGAAAGGGGGCCCTAAGGCAGAGATGGGCCTGAGGAGCTGGGATCAGGGTTCTCTGGGGTCCATTCCTTCTGCTTCAAGTCACCCCTTTCTCCCAGGAGGCTGAGGAGCTCAGTGCCACGGTTAGCAAATGGGCAGCTCCGATATTACCAGAAAGAAATTTC